AATTGAGTGTGAGCTTTCATTGTGTTCTCATCCATATTAGAGAACAATCATTTATTGTAATTATGCTTATTATGAGGATACACTTTGTAATACACTTGTACACCGAGAGAAGTGTGTGGCGAGAGTCGAGGATCGTCCCAAGAGGAGTGACGTCGATTGACGAATCTAGGGAGAGGTTGTATCCGAGCACTTGAGGGAGACACGTCTAGTTCAACATTTGAGAGGGTGTAGAGTGAGATTACAAGAGTGTGTTAGTTGTAGAGTTTTCGGTAAACTAGAAAACCGTATTGTGAGGTGTAAATATTATTCGGGTAAACATAGAAAACCCAGTTGTGATAGTGGAGATCTCCTCAAGGTGAGGAGCGGAGACGTAGGTCGTGGGGACCGAACTCTGTAATCATATCGTTTGTTTGTGATTGCATTGGCGCACTTATTTTTATGTTCATATCTTATATCGTCTTTGTTTATTGCTTGTTGATTATATTGTCCACTAGCTAGTTTAGATTGTTTACCCTTGTGTTAATTATATATCCTTGCATATATCTCATAGTATATCTCATTGCTAGGATATTTACCTTTATTCATATTGTTTATTCTTGCTTGTAACATATTGTATATCTCTCTTGTAAGAATAATTTATTAATTAGTTTTAATTGGTATAAAATCGGATTAGATTAGCATAAGACCCTAATCACCCCCCTCTAGGGTCTAACACCAACCTCTCTCACCGTTCCCGACCGCCACCTAGCGGCCACGCCGTAGCCATCACCGCCCGACCATCTCCCCACACCCCTGTCGCTACCTTCCTCCTCCCGTCGCGTCGACCCGACCCCTATTCACGCTCTGACCACCCAACTCTATCAGATCCACCGGCCCACCAGAGCTCCGCCTCTGCCTCCCTTAGTCCACTAACCTCCTCTCTGTGGTCAGCCCGACGCCGACCACGACGAGCAGCCCGAAGCCAGCCGTAGTCCCTCCCGCTCCAGCGCCACCTTCCCCGCTCTCACTGTCCTCCTCACCATCGCTCACCTTCCAGCTCCGACCAGCAGCCCTCCTCGCGTTGATGTCCACCTTCCAAGCCTCAAATCCGACCCACTGCCCAACTCCCACCGCCTTGGCAGAGCTTCCCACCCGAATCCCCGTTCCAGATCTGTGGCACCCCACCTACCGCTGCACCCCTTGCACCGACCTCCACGCCTCCCCAACTCAGATCTGCACCGTCGAACCCATTGCCGACGTCGCCGACTGCCGCAACAACCCCCGTTGCTCCATTCACGGCCACGAACCCGAGGCAAGATCCCGCTTCTCTTTGACTCGTCATTTTAATCTGCTATTGATTATTTGTATAGATTAGACTGATGTGTTATTATCTGCGTGAGTTTGTTGATAATACTGTGATGGTTACATTTTGTGAAGTGATGCTATATATGATGAGTGGATATGTTGAAAAATACTTTATGATTAATTACCAAATATTTTTGAAAGAAAGAATAATTTGTAAAAAGGAGTATTCTGAACTATTATGATGAGAAATATTTTAAAAGAATTTATTTTGGCAGAGGTAATATTAAATAGAATATTTAAAGATTATTTTTAAAATTATTGTAATGAGAAAAGAATTTACTTTGTGTAAAAGGGATTATTTTAGAATAATAATTTAAAAGAGTTTATTTTATAAAAAGATTATTTTAAATAAACAAATTTGTGATTTTTAAAAACTAGTTCTGAATTAATATAATGGGAAATAATTTTAAAAGAATTTATTGGATGAAATTGGTTTTCACGCATGATTATGTTGTTCACAAGTTACTGTTCATACTTTTCGTATTATTCATAATTACTATTCATATCCTACGATCTTTATTTCAATATATTTGATATGCCATGATGTTGTTGCATAGAATTAGTTTTATTTATTATATCCTTATTGTGATTGAGAACCCTTAGTAGTTCGTGACTTAGTGGCCTCGTGCGTCATGAACAGACCTAGTGATATGTGTGGGTACGTTGACTGAATTTAGGTGGTGAACCAGAGATATTGTGGACTTTGATTGTTGACTTAGAAAAACGAGAAGAGTTGGGATGGGAAAGTCTTTGTTCATGTGATCGGATGTGGCTATTGATGTATCTTCTAGGCTCGCGCCAGTGAATTCGTGTAGTCACTGGGGTTAGTTTGTTGGGCTAAAGTGAATTCGTGTAGTCACCTTAGTCCATGACCTGTTTTGTCACCTGAGCTTTGCCTAAGTTCGGACCAAGTTGAGATCGGATTGCATGTAGTCCTCTGACCGAGTCGTGTAGCGGTATTGGATGCGCATTGAGGATTTGTGAACAGTCAGTTATCCGGTGATATGAATGTTGACTTTATTTGAGATATGGACCAATGAGTTTTAGGATGGTTAGTACTCGATCCGGTTACAATGTGCAGTTAGACTTATAATTATCATGTTTTAGTAGCGTTTTCGCATGTTGATTTTGTTGGATTTTCAGTTGCACGTCCTTTTGTCATTTCTGTTATCGTATCGTTTTCCGCTTGGGTTTTCGTTCGCTCTATTTGTTTGGTGGGATCTTGCCATGTGCCATGCACGTTGACATACACATATTTTCTCTGGTGTACGTCAGACTTAGAGGAAGAACAGGTCCAGCTGAGAGATCGCCAGGAGCCAGAGGATTCTCAGCAGGAGTGCCTTGCAGACAGAGTTGAAGAATAGGCCGAAGCTTAGTTATCTTTTCTTAGCTGATGGTCATAGTTGCTTTTGCAGTATTTCCTTTCTTTTCTGTTGAACGATGTATTTTATATTTCTTCAGTTTTTAGTTTAGTTGCTTTTGCAGTATTTCCTTTCTTTTCTGTTGAACGATGTATTTTATATTTCTTCAGTTTTTAGTTGTTCAATTTTGTATAAGGGCATTTTCTGTTGAACGATGTATTTTATATTTCTTCAGTTTTTAGTTGTTCAATTTTGTATAAGGGCATGTTTGACCCAAACTCTGTGTCACGGATGATATTCTATTTGTGATATATCTCTTTTTCATTCTAAGTTGTTCATTATATTCTTGCTATCTGTGATCGGGGACCTGTTCCTTTGTATTTATTTCTTGATACTTACCGTATTAGGTTGAGGAGAAATGTTTATTTTTATTTATTCTCCTTAATCTAATACGTCGCAGGCTTGTTCGCATTCCGATTCCTCGATATTTTGGGAAGCAGGACGTGACAGAATTAAAGGAAATTTTCTATAGGATGGTTATAATACCAACTATGCTTTTATGGGTCTGATCGTTGGGCGATTAAAAAAAAACATGTGCTGAAAATAAGTGTAGTAGAAATGAGAATGTTGTGATAGTCTTCTGGGTATACATTAAGAGATAGGATAAAAAATGAGTGCATCCGTAGTATTTTAAAGGTTGCTCCTATTGGGGACAAATTGAGAGAGAATGTATTAAGATGATTTGGTCATATACAAAAGAGACCTCTTACTACACCTATCAGGAAAAATGATAATATTGTAGTAATGTGCTAGGAGACGTAGATGTAGATCCAGAAGGATCTGGTTGGAAGCAGTTCGAAAGGATATGATTATGACTAGCTCAACCGATGAGATGACTCATATGGAAGAGTAGAATTTTTATATCTGACGCCAAACATTTAGGATAAATGCTTTGTTGTTTTGTTGTTTGGCTCATCCAACGAATACACGTCACAGGGTTCACATCCAATTAATTTCACAAGAACATCCCAACTTCGTACAATGTGTAATCTCAAAATTTTCATATTCCTAGGACGCGGTACCAATTGTTCTATAAACTTCTGATGGGTTCTACAGAAGATATTACTCATGACGAATGCTATATAATAAAAAAAAAAAAAGCTAACTGCAGCGGGAGGAGGTGTACTGATCTTCTAAGCAAATCCACACAGCCAATTGCCTACATCAGGCTCATCTGATTGTTGGCTCGAGCCATTCGCTGGCCAAATTTGAAAACCATGAGCTTTAATTTCATTATAATAACTTTCATGTACCACCTGTCTAAAATATGCACATAAAAAACCGGTAGCTTCTTGCCTCGTTATGTAGAATGAAAAGCAGAGGAGACAGCGGAGGCTGTTGTAGTAGGCCACGCAAGAAAAGCTTTAGCTGGGTCCAAAGAGCTCCCTCCGAAGCATTTGCGATTAAATCAATCGAAACTTTAAAAGTGTTGGGAAGCTATCAAACCTTTATACCCCAGCCATAATAATCATCAATGGGCATCAACCCGAGGGAATGTTTCTCTACTGCTCGGTGGCCTCCAAGTGTCACTCCCCAGCCCCATAACCATTGGAGAGTGGGGTTTAAAAAATTTTGAACATGGGGGAATAAGGGACTCCACTTAAGGAGCTTTACCAAATGATTTGACATGATTCCATATCTTAGAAGAACAAATGAGTGGGAAAAGTACGACTGAAGCCTTTCTTCTTGATTCCTAACAACAAATTACAAATAAATT